TGTTAAATCGTATATCCACCAGCAACCAGTTCCGTTCGTTCGTTCATGAAGTCACTGTCCAACAGTGTCAGGGGGTGCCGCAAGGAAGGGGCTCAAAGTCGGGGGGTTTTTTCCGCACGCGGCGTGCGCCATTTCGTGTTGCTTGGGTCGTGGACGACCATTCGAGCTGGCTATCGATCGAGGACGATCACCGGTGGTTGAGAAGAGGAGAACAGATCTGAGCGCCAGGGAGCGCAGCTGCTTGGGAGGAGGAGGTGGCCGGGGGGCCCGCACCAGTGTGTGCAAAACCCTGCAGCGCGAACAAGCAGAAAAAAGTTCCTTTTGACCAGCAATGGTGACTTGTTTCTGCCTGGATAAGGTGGAGGGTTACGGGACGGGGGTAGAGGGTACATTATTAGTATATTCAGTATACAGATTGTGTGCGAACCACTGTTTGCAGCTGCTTAGAGATCTCTTTTCTGTTCGATGGTGCACGAGCAGCAGTTACTGTAGCCGCAAGATGGCAGAAAACATCCTGCCAAGACAAGACTCGCGAGGTCGTTCTTCAACCTTGATGAAGACTATGTGCCAACATGTCCGCCGAAAAAAAAAACACCGCTCCTAGAAAAGTCACTTGAACACCGAGCAGACATCTACTGTCGCTTCGTTTCTGACGACGGCATCAAACGACACTTCACCCGGACAGCGCTGTCCACAGCGCTGTCGGGAAGATTCGACTCATGTCGAGCATTTTGATGTCGCTGGCGGTGATCACTGGGGCGTTCATCGGCATGGCCATGATCATGATGGCCTTCTCCTTCGTCACGACCGCATTGAAGGGCCAGCGGAAGGACTCAGCTCAAACGCAGCTGCCGCTGAACCTTGATGACATCACAGAGGCTGGACGTTTGAGGCGAAGGTGACTCAGGTTGTTTGTGCACATTATTTGTGGTGGTTTCTTCCATATTCTATCTACTCAAGGATTCCATGATCATAGATGTCAGAACTGGCTAAAAGATAAGGGCATTTGTCTTCCAGGGCTCTATTGTCAAGTTCTCATTGCCTGTCCAGGCACTCTTGTACTGGCAATTTTGGTGTACATGAACAAATTGCTTTTGTAGGCCTGCACATTTATTCACCTTCTGGAGTATTCACACGGCATGTAGTATACAGTCGTTTTTTCAGGTGCATACTAACTGTTGACGGAAGTCTCCTTGACAAAGGACATCATTGATTTATTCTAAGCACCTGTTCAGCAGAGGATGAATGGTTGCAAACATCATCAGCCTTCACTGGTATTGGTTATAATCTGGATTATATATTGGTCTGTTCCGTTGCCTCAAATTTGACTGAGAGTGGCCTTTCATGGCACTGCAACCCTGCAGGTGACTCTCTCCAGTGATGAAACGTGCGCCATTTGTATGGACGACATTCCTGCAGGTGATGTGGCCAAATCACTGCAATGCAACCACCAGCACCTTGGCCGGAATCTGAACTTTGCAGCTTCAGTGGGCAGCTTCGTTTTTTGGTCGCAGCGAGTGAGGTTCCATGGCGAGTGCATCCTGGCATGGTGGAGCAAGCAGGTTCGTCGAGGACAAGATTCCGCGACCAGCTGTCCACTTTGTAGGTGCCCTGCGAACGTTTGGGTTACAATATAAGGCAATTTGGGCTATGGATTGCCCTCTGCCTGCAATCTATGATTGGATTGGGCTGACTTTAGCTGCCACTCAGTATTACTGTGAAGTTCCTACTTATGATATGAGGAATACATAATTCATTGCAAAAGGTCTTCAGTCCTGAGGAATGAGGCACCGTGATGAAGGTTTTTGTTGCATTCATTTGCCGTGGGACTTCTCAAGATGAGTGAAGAGCACATAAGTTGTCACATAAGGCTCAGAAGGGAGCCGATGGACTCCACATCACTACGTAAAAGCATACATAAAGATCAACGAGGCCACCTTGTCTCATCGACTTAGACGTCTTGTCATTTGCATCCCCTGGTCTTGTCAAGGGCACGCAAGTAGTTCATAGTTCTTGTTGAGATACGCATCACATCTTATTGCCATGCAGCTTCGGCGGGAACCGTCAAGTGGAATGGTTCAGTGACCCCACAACTCAGTCACTCTCCCCACACCAGAGAGTCCATCAGACATCGTCTTGGGTTGGAGTCGAGGCCATCGCTTAGGTTGGAGGCCATTCCTATTAAGGTTGGAGGCCATCCCCCATTAGGTTGGAGGCAATTGCTATCATCTCCGCTTGTTCGCTCACATGCCGAGCCGTCAGACATCATCAGACGCAGGTGTATTCAGCCCATGCCGGCCGAAGCCGAAGCGCGTGTGTGAAGCGGAGGCCGAACCGCTGCATCCTAATTCAACCATCTCCGACCGTGGTTCAAGAGACTTCTGGGTAAAGGCGATGAAAGCATGGCCAAGTGGCTCCGGTAGGTGGCAAAGAATGGGCTTTCCAGGCATCACTCGTGTCCACCATCTCGTTGATCTAACACAAGCCGTGTCGACAAGGATCCGATCCGGCAGTGTTTTGAACCAATCCTGAAGAGGTTTTGCCCTTTCCTCACTGTGTATTGACGGTGTTGGATCCTGCCTCAGAAGCTGAAGGAAGCTTCTACGTGTGGGACTCCGGACTTTCCTGTCTTTGGCAGCAATGTCTTGGATGCAGGAATGTCTTGGATTTTGAGCAGCATGTAGACACGGTGAATCATGGGGTCAGATCTATCACAACGAAAAAGCAGCCTCGTGAGAGTCCAACAATTCCCAACAGGCAGGTGTCGACGAATTGTTTAGTCCTGGTGACTCCTTGACAATGAAGATGCCACATGGTCATGGTGATTCATGGTGCCATCCGAGGCAACTCATGGATTTGGGCCTCAACAAGTCTCCAAAAGTCTCCAAAGTTCTTGAGGTACTGGGCTTAACCATGCTCAATCATCAAGAGAATCATTTGCTTCACAAGGAGGATCACCGCGACTTGTCATCCACAGGTGTCAGACCTAGCCACTCCACAACTACTTGAGTTGTGGGGTGCCAAACTCAAAGCATCCACAGGGCCCGAGAACTGGCCGTAGGCGTAGACCGTTAGAAACATGTCAATTTGAAGAAGAAAAAGGGCTGATTCCTGCTTGTGCGAAGTGGCTGAGCTTTCGTGGTTATATATACATAATATAATAGTTATACTATATACATAGAGTCATATTGTTAAATCGTATATCCACCAGCAACCAGTTCCGTTCGTTCGTTCAT